ATCCTTCTGACTCTCTATTAGCAGCTTTTAAACTGAGAACGGATGGGTTTTATATTTTACTATGATAATATAATTTCTAGCACTGTTGTTATATGCAAGAAGGAGTGACTAGACTTTAGCTGAAGGAAAAAAATAAAAAATAAGACCTCATGTAAATGTAGAAACTCAAATGCCACAACTATGAATTCACAAGTCATGAAAATGTTGGATTTATTAAAATTCGATGGTACAGATCAAAATTATTTGTAGGCAAATTATTGTTAAAAAGGAAAATAAAGAATCCAAAATTGAGCTGTTTAGGCTAAAGATCCCCAGGATTAATATCAGATCCAACTGTAGTTTCAAACTTTTTCAGGAATTTTGTCCTAGCTGGTAAACATGAGGTCAACAGAGAACTATTCTACAGGATAAAACGTCCGCCTGCCTTCCCAAAGAGGAGACAGCATGAGGTAGTATTTCTTTTCTTTTACTTATATAACTTGGTCCCACCCTTCTTTGAATCTAAAAACTTTCTATCGGAAACAATTTTTTTTTTCTCAGTGATTTTGTATTAGCTATTGGAAGAGAGTAGTGGTCTCACTTCAAAAAGGGAAAGGTAATTACCAAGAATGTGTTAAGAAGAGGAAATGTTTGGTATACCAAACTGCCATGCATATAAAACTCTCAGGTGAAAAAGTGATCTCTGATTATTGCTCTATTCCAATTACAGGCTTTCTAACGCAAATTTTCCTTCAAGTAATATTTATGACAAGAAGGCATACTTTGGTATGGTGAAATCTGGTACCTTTTACTTGGAAATATTGTTGAATATAATACATTTTCCAGTAAAAAAAAAAAAAAGCCAAGTAAATGATGTTACATAGGTTACATAGTGTGAAAAGTGACATCACTGGAGTAATATTAAAATAGGGCTGGAAAAGCTGTAACTGGGTTGTCCCCAGTTATAGGGGAGGATCGAGGTTTCCTGCCCCACACAAACAAGGGTGGAGCTGAGCAGGGAGGAGAAGAATCTGGAGAGGAGACTGAGGAGGAAGGAAGCAGGATGGAGAGCCAGAGGAGACCTGAGGGAGGCACATGGAGCAGAGACATGTGAAGAAGAGACCTTGTTTCTTGGCCGTGGACTGGGTGAAACAGATGTGGGTGAGAGACCCATGGGGAAGAGGTTGACTATGGCAGCGTTTATCTTGATTTTGATTTTTCTCTTTGCCTCCCAAACTTGTCTGGGCATTTCTGACTCTTTTCTATAGGTCCCTGCCAGAGGGTGCTTTAGACTTGTGGTGGGCTTTTGGGCCTTGCTTTGGGCCAATCCCTTTTGGATGAACTTTTACCCATGAGGGGATGGGTAACTTTGGGTGTTGGGTGTTTGATTTAGAAACTATATACTTTGTCTCTTCTGTACTGCACACTCATTGTATTAAAGGTCCTTTCCATTAAAGGTCTTACATGTTAAGTCTTGGTGCGGCAGATGGCAGAACCTATTTAGAGAGGACAGGTTTGGGGTTTCAAGGGTGCCCGCCCTTCTCAATGCCTGAAACAAAGCCACCCCAAAAAAAGCTGTTTTTCTCTCTTCTTGCTTTATCAGGTTTGGGATCTGGAGGGTGCTATCCTCCAGTTACATGTAACCATAATGAGAAGCTTTGCAGGGAGGGGTGAGCAACATTACAATCGTGTAAGTGTAAACTTTAATTGCAAGCAAGAGGGAAGCTAAGGTACCTCTTGGCAAAGCAGCACAGGAAGCTGTCGTGCAGAGTGGGTGGGACATATCCAGAGAGGCTGGCAGGGAGGGAGGCCACTTCTCAAAAGTGTGCCATTTACCACACTAACAAAAAAAAGATAAAATCACATGGTCACTTAAATAGGTGCAGCGAAGACATCTGATAAGATTCAACATTCATTTATCATAAAAACTCTTGATAAAAAAAAGGAACATATCTCAACATAGCAAGGGCCATATATGACAGATTCACCATCAACGTATTCAGCAATGCAAAACTGAACACAATTCCCATAATCAGGAATAAGGCAGAAAGTCTATTTTCTTTCTTTTTTTTTTTTTTATGACACTTAACATGCCTAAGTCTTTTTTTTTTTTTTAGTATATCTTTTTTTTTTATTTTATAAATACATTTTTTACATTGTTCTTCATTTTGTACATTTTTCCATCTCAGTTGTAATCCCCGTGGACTTCCCACCACCATCTCACCCATGTGCCATCACCATAGCCCAGGGTGCTCTTCCCACCCCACTTTGATCTTGTTCCTCTCACCACCCCAGTAGAATGTCCCTGGTTTATAGTTGTTAGTTGATGTTCCTTTTTACTTGATTACAATTAAACAGGCCAATTCCACCTAACAGGCCCATTACAAGCAGTGAAATTGATACAGTCATCAAATCTCTCCCCAAAAACAAAAGCCCAGGGCCAGAAGGCTTTACAAATGAATTTTAACAAATGTTCAGAAATGAACACTATAGAGCCTATCCTACACAAATGCTTTCAAAAAATAGAGAATGATGGAATACTACAACCACAGTTTATGAAGCCAATGTTACACTAATACCAAAGCCAAACAAGGACAACACAACTAAACAAAAACCAAATAGCACAATAAAAAAATGGGGGAAAGCTCTAAACAGATACATCTCCAAACAAGACATTCACATGGTCTACAGGCACATGAAAAAATTCTCAGCATTACTTTTTATAAGGGAAACAGTGGGAGATCACATCAACTCTTTGAAAATGAACTATAACCAAAGAATTGGAAACAACATATTTTGGTGAGGATTTGGAATAAAAGAAATATCCATGGTTGGTGGGAGCATAACTGGCATTCTTTGTAAAAAAAAAAAAAGTATGGACATTCTGAAGAAAAATAAAAATGGAGATACTATACAAGTGAGCTATATCTCCTCTAGGTATTGAGCCAAGGAGTATGAAATCATTCATGTTAAAAGGTTTACACATTCCTATGTTCCTACGAGCATTATTTACAGTAGACAACTAAATACACTTTGAAAAATGATTGGATAAAGAAATTTTGGAATGCATGCTGAATGGAATTCTATTCGGCTGTTCAAAAAAGATGAAATAGTACCTTTTAGGACAAAATGGATGCATCCTTAGGTTATTATACTAAGTGAAATACATCAGAAAGTGAAAGAAGTTACTGAATGGTTTCACTTATTTGCATAATATAAGTAACTAAAGAAAACAAACTGGCAAAACACAACAAAGAATAATTCTTAAACTCTGTGACAAATACGATTACTGTAGGGAACATAGGCGAGGAGTAAGGAGAGAGGGTAAGTGATTGGAAAATGGCGCTGGGACTTCTGTGGAGGATGAATCTGCCAGTTCTGCACTCATATTCAACCGATGTCAAATGTGGGTTGCTAGAAACATCAGGCACAGAACCTCAGATAGGGAGAGTCAAATAAAAGTTACACTTGGACATTTGGCTGTGTGAGGTTCGGTGCCCCTAGTCACTGAATTGTTCAGGGGTAAGCTGCACATGCATTTAGGCTTCCCTACTCAAACTATTCTGTTTTTGAAGGTTAACAATAGCTTAGGCAATATTTTTCACAATCGAGATTTCTGTGACTCACCTTTACAAAGTTCATTAGAACAGTATACTATCAAAATCTTCCTTCACAATTTATGCTTTATAAACATTCCATCATTACTGTTATTTACTTAGCATTTTTAACATATTGTTTTTACTTAACAATGACAAGGAGAGTAATTTCATTACTTTAAATGAGATCCAGCATCATTGTTCATAAAATGGAAGTCAAGAATGAAAATAAAAGCAGTGAAAACAAAGTAATTTTGTTAAAATTGTTTAAAAGTTGGTGGCCTAACGGAGACTCCTGGCATTGAGACTTAATTTTCACTGGCAAAGATTTTGTGCCCTCACAAAACACTGGCATATGCAATCAATGAAAACAGTTTCTGTCTCCCCTAATGCCTACATAGCAGTATCTCTCTGGATGAAGTCCCTGGGTCACCTGTATTAGAACGACCTATTAGAAAGTGGTGGAGGGCAAACTGGGGCAGGGGTAACTAAGGAATGACTTAGGGCCCAGGATATTACATTATAAGAAACTTCCATATGTGATTTTGATTCACAATAAAATTTGAGAACCAGGGTTATGTAATAGCAATTATTGAAGATAACAAAAACCACCCATATCATCTCTTCATGCATAAAGATGGGAAAAAATGGAAGAAGGATGTAAAGATGTTTATTTGCCCCAGACATGAAGAGTAAGGTTATAGCCTGCACATAAACACTGCATTTAACTGGAGTATACTATTACCAAAGAGAGGGTCAAAAAGGAAAAAAAAAAAAAAAAAAAAGAGGAAAAAAAATTCTAAGACACCCATCAATGAAAGAACAAGAAGAAGATTCATTGAAGAAAGGGATTGATTAAATAGAAAAGATGAAAGTGGCTTAAGCTTCTTGGTGCTGTGCTTCAACCCACTGTACCACCAGGGAGGGCCCAAAGCCATCACTTTTAAAAGCATCTTCAGCTAAAGGCAAAAACCCTATGGAGGTGGCAAGGAACTAGGTCTGAGAATGTCAGGGAACAGAAAACTTTCTATTCCTCAGATTTCACCTCAGAATGAATGGTTGAATATTCAAATTAATAGCATTCCAAATAATAGAATAAAATTAATTATAAAAAATTATATTATGTAGATTCAAAAGTCAGTGAGGCAAAATGGAGGTATATATCCTAAGTAAAGTAATGGGAGATGGATCTGGGGCTTCAAGGAAAAAGGAAAGGGTCATACATGACAAGAAGAATATGACCTCACAGAACAAAACCTGGCCTTTAGCTATTTGCTAGTCTGATGATGGGTTTCACTGATACAATGGTTGGAGATGACCCTAAATCTGAGTAATCTTCATTCTTCTACATAGTAAAGAATATGGTTAACAGTTTTTTGTTGATGCCCACAGGATTTCTATTGCCATTAGTTATATACATGGTAGTTAACAAATTTTGTGAAAAGCCTTTTCTGGACATCTCGAGAAAGTCAATCTGAATATTTTGAAGCGATCTATCCTTCAGCAAACTCTCAAAAATCATCAACCCTAAATAATCTTTATGCCACAAAGGCATATTTTAAGGTGACTTTCACCCCATTAGTGATGCTAATTGCTGCCCCACAAGCCCAAACTTGTCGATGACACCTGAGGATACCTGGATGTTGGAGAAATGACCAGGACTACCCTTTTCTACTTCCTGATGATTTAGCCATTAGCCTATGAGTGACTTCCAAAACCCACACACTAAAAACCTGCGATCACAGCAGAGCTGTCTGTAATTTTAGTTGATCAAACTTTTAGCCATATTTATGCAAGTGAGACAGTCTAATATAAGAAATTACAAGCCAGCGGGATGTGTTGGCCCAAGTCCTGTTTAAACAGGTAAACTAAATCACAGGCCAAAGAGCCCCGTCCAAGCATTTGGCTCACCACACAAACAGGTACCACGACAGACAAAAAGCATTGGCTCCTGGACCCTCCCTGGTGGCACAAAGGGTTAAAGCACAGCAATATGAAATTAGCCGCAACACTTCAGCGTGAGTTCGATCCCAGCCTAGGGAGTTGACCCACATGGTGCAGCAGACCTCTCCTGTCTCACCACTGCTCCCCTCAGCAGTGTACTTAGTTGATCTGTCTGTTCTGTTCCCCACTCAGTCTGTGGTGAATCCTCTCACCCCCGCCCTGTACCTCTGACTTGTACCCCAGTTCTGGATGCATAATAAATCAATCTTAAAAAGAAAAAAAATAAAAAAGAATGAGGAGAGTTGAGTTGAACTTGAATTTTAATTCCACCACTCACTAATGGCAAGTTTCTAAAAACACTGGCTCCTGACTCAGGATTTTCTCACAATTTCCTGGGAATGTAACCTGTCTATGCGTGCCTAGACACAGACTAACCCCGAAGCAGCTGCTCTGGTCCTGACCTTTCGGACCTACCCTTCAAATATCTCCTAACTCCGAGCTTGGCTAGCATCTCCTTTCCCACACTGGCTATCGCCTCTGCGTCTCTCTAATAAAATCTTGCCTGTTTCAGCTTCACCTGGTGCTCGCTTGTGAATGCTTCACCTGGAGGGCAAAGGACCCACTTTTCAGTTGGGGTCTGTAACCCACCTATAACACCTACATTTTCCCTCTTGGTCCTTTTATAGTTTTTTGATAGTTCACTTTACTGTGTGCGGTGCAATGTTGTTAAATCAGTCAAAACGTAGTGACTGGCAGAATTATTAAGTTAAGAAATGTGGCATAAGTGGCAACATTTGAAACTCAAGCTAGACTGGACTAAAAAGCAGAAATGCAGAGTAAGGGCTTAAAATATACCGCTTGATGGATGCCCTGAATCCTTGCTGGGTGTCTTCCATTTATGAGTTTTATATAAAATAGTACTGTACTTTCCAAGGAATTTCACATTACCACAGAAGATTTGCTTTCATTGTGTTTTAATGTGAGTTTAATATAGAACATATTTGACTGCCCTCTTCATCAGCTGAATAGTGTTTTCATCTGAAGTAGATAAAACAAATGATTAATGCTAAAGCTGTGAACTATTCTAATGGACCTCTGTTCCTTTTCTCTTTCCCTCAGCTTTTGCCTCCTTAACTTGGCAGTAAACTCTTACTTCTTATGGAAAAATATAGTTGATATGGCTTACTCCCACTGGGGTCATTGTGGTGGTTTTATGACATAAGGGTGGTCTAGCCTATCAGAAGTCTCCATCTCTCTGGGTCCAGTGGTTGGTCCAGGCGTTAGGCCATGATTGAAATCAGGCCAAGATACTGGTGCTGAAGTTCTAACAGAGTGGTTTCTAAGAAAATGGGAAGTTCCAGGTTCCCTGCTCCACCCAAGAGGATGGTGGAGCTGAGCTGAGAAGAGAAGGGACCTGAAGAAGAAGGAAGCAGTATGGAGAGCCAAAAGGAGACCTGAGGAAGCCACATGGAACAGAGAAACATGTGAAGAAACTTTGCTTGCTTCTAGTCCTGGACTGGTTGAAAGTGATATGGGTGAGAGAACCATGGAGAGGTTGATTACGGCAGTGTTTTTATTGATTTTGATTGTTTTCTTCCCAGCTTGTCTGGCTATTTCTGAACCTTTTCGATGGGTCCCAGCCAGAAGGTGCTTTAGTCTTGTGGCAGCTTTCAGGCCTTGCTCTGGGTCAATCCCTTTTGGGTGGACTTTTGCCCAGGAGGGGATGGGTAACTTCAGGTGTTTGACTTAGAAATTATATTGTCTTCTGTTTGTATACTCACTGTATGAAAGTTCCTTTTCACTAAAGTCTTACATGTTTTGTCTTAATGTGGAGGATGGCAGAACCTATTTAGAACAGGCAGGTTTAGGGGTTCAGAGGTACCCTTCTCTCCCTGCCCTGTAACAAAGTCACTGAACGCAGTTGTGGGTGGCTGATGGTACAAGTGCCACCTCTGGCCCTCTGTGAAGGGAAGCTGTGAGAGATTGAAAGCAAACTAGAAGTCAGAGAGAGCCAGAACCTCTGAATCCAGCTGTGCCTAGGGCTAACCAAAGCCCTTGACATCACAGGTACAAAAGGTCAACGCATTCTTCTTTTTGGTTAGTTTCATTTTCATTCAGTTTCTGATACTTGCAATAAAAATATCTCCAAATAGCACATTACCATGTTTTACTTAGGAAGGAGAAATTATCCATGAGGAATAACTTGTAATTTGTATATTTCTCAGAAATGGAAGGTAAATACATTTATGAATCGAATGATTTGGTTTGACTGAATGAATATGCTGCCCCCAAATATGCCTCTTTGGCATAAGGATTATTTTGAGCTGATTATTTTGTGCAACTGCAGACACAGGAGAAGCTCTGTAAACAGAGTAGAAGTTGCCCTTCTGTAAGAGAAATTTACATTAGAAAGGGAGCCTGCAGCTGGAAGAGAGTTACAACCAGTGATTACTTTTTCACCTGAGAGACTGATTTACATGCCTGGTCAACCTTTGTTTACCACATATTTCCTCTCCTCACTTTGTTGCAAATTGCCTTCCCCCTTTGAAAGACCTAGACCCCTATCCCTTTCTTTAACTCAGCGGTGTAGGGAAGCCTCAATTTCCTGTCTTTTGAGTCTGGTATCTTAGTGGGGCTCCAGTGCATAGAGATGTGCACACATTACAGACTCCCATGAAGGGAAAACGCCATTTCCCCTATCCTCTATTGACAAGACAATTTAGATTACAAGCCCAGTATGCCATGAACCAGACTCCCCAAACAGTGGAACAGTGACAGGGTTGTCCCCAGGAAAAAGAAAAGAAGCTGGACAGCAGACTGGAGAAGGAAAGAAGAAATACGGGAAGGCAAGGAGACCTGAGGGAGGCACACGAAGCAGAGAGACTTGGGATGAAGCTGCACTTGCTTCTTGGTCCTGGACTGTTTGAGACAGATGTGGGTGAGAGACCTGTGGGGAGGTGCACAATGGCAGCTTTGATCTTCATTTTGATTTTGCTCTTTTCCTTCTAGACTCGCCTGCCCCTTTCCTAAGGGTCCCCACCAGGAGGTGCCTAAGATTTGTGGCAGACCATTCGGCTGGGCATTTACTCATGAGGGGGAAGGGAAACTTCGCGCACTTGATTTGGAAACTTTATTCTCTGTCTTTTCTTTGTTGCACACTAATTGTGTTAAATTCTTTTCCATTAAAGATCTTATACATTAGACATTAGAGTATGTTTTGTCTTGATGCAGCAGACAGCAGAAACTATTTTGAGCTGGTGGGCTTGGGGTTCTGGTGTGCCCCTCTCCTGCCCTTTAACAGAACTACTGTAAACTAGGGCAGAACAGAGTGGCCCTGTAGACCTATTTAATAAGGCAGGCAGCTAGGCCTGGTTCTCTCGTTTTTGGCTCTGACTTGCACCTTGGTGATGTTGGAAGAAGACACTTGGAGGAGGCACATGGAAGAGAGACATGTGGAGAGACTTGGAAAAGGGAGCCATGGATGAAAGACATAGGTGAGAGAAACGGGGGGGGGGGGGGGGTTTGCAGAATCAGTTTTTGGCAAATACAATGGCAGCCATTACTTTGATTCTTTGATTTCATACTGCATTTCTCGCTCCTGTCCCAGCTCTCTGGAACACTTCACATCCCTTTATTGTGGTTCCTTGCCAGAAGGCACTTTAGGCTTGTGGCAAGCTTTTGGCCTTCAGTGGTCTTGCTTTGGGCCAAGCCTCTTTGACTGGGCATTTGCACACAAGGGGGATGGGAAATTTTAAGAGTTGCTGTTACTTAAAATAAATTCCTCCTACCACTCTTTCTCTTCTGATGTCATTTTTTGGAGTTCAGAGCCCTTGGGTTCACCCTGGGAAAGGTTTCTCAAGAGCTCCCCTTTCAGCAGCATATGGCGAGTTCCCAGGCGAATTTCTCCATGAGACAGAGACTCAGTTATATTTAAAGAGCAGGTTTATTAGGGAAAAGGACAGAGGAGCAAAGGACACTTGCATAGACACAAGCGGCCAGGGAGAGCTGCACTGAAGTGATAGGTTTGCTAAGGGAGCCCTGATGGTTGCAGGCGGGCGGCCTTAGGAGAGCAGCCTCCACTAAGGGAGGTCAGTGCAGAAAAGTCCCAGCAGGTTCAGGTCACCTGCAGGCAGGAGGCTGCTGCCCTGCAGAGGGAGAGAGTAGGTGGCAAGAAGCACCTGCATAGGCACAGGTGGGCAGAAGACTGCTGCCCCAAGCCAGTGCAGAGACTGCCCTGGTAGAGTCCTTTTCTCTTTGGGAGAGACTCACTCCTTTGTGTGGTGGCCTGTTTGCTGCTGATTTTGGATAACTATGTGGAATCTCACAATGGGCCCAAGTGCTGTATATTTACTCTCAGGTCTGTGCTTTCAATATTCCCTACAGCCGTCTGACATAGGAGTTTCTGTGACTGGGTTAATGGTCACATTAGTTCCTCTGCCCCCACTTCCTTGCATGAGTCAGGTTTTAACCTTGTGATGTCTCCTTCAGGTTTTCTACTCTTTTCCTCCATCATTCTCCTCCCTCTTTTCTTCCTCCTTCCTGTCTCTCTTCTCTGCCTCACCCCCTTCTTTCCACATTAATTCTATTGAAAATCTAAGAGTATGCTTCCTTTGCTGATGCCTGGATCCCGTTTTAGAACATGCACCCCTTCACAGTTTGGGATCCTTGGGTATTATTTAGTGGTACATTAACACATCTGTGATTAAAATCGCTTTTGATTTTCCCATGAATCTTCCATTTTATTACAAAGGGTGAGGGGCAGGATTCAACCAAGAACCTAATAGGGTAAAGGGAAAATTCTCCCCCACCACACACATATACTATATCAAAAGTAAGTTATTAAAGGGAACCTGAGAGGAGTCTTTCAAAATATAGTTTTTTTTTTTTTAATTTTGTTTTGTTTTAAGAAAAGGCATCCCAAATCAAATGGAAAGGTACAAGTGACTCACTGATTACAGGCAAGATACTGGGTTGTTTTTCATGATCTTGAATAGATAACTTTAGTGGTTTCATTGTTTTCTGGGTTCAATTTTCACCCTCCTAGGTTTAGAAATTCTGTTTAGTTGAAGCACTAAGATAGGATCTATCCCCCAGGGAAGCATTCACATTAAGCAAGCTCACAGAAACTAAAATAGGAAACCCAAATGCCAATTGATTAATGAACAATGAGGAAAAAAAACATCCATTGGACCAGAATTGTAGTATCAGCAGATAACTGCAGTCTCTCCGTTAGGGCAGAAGTTGCATCCTGATAATCTGAATTTGGTGTACAGATGCTTTTCATGGGCATGTGATACAGCGTTGAAGGATAGACCTCCCCAGTATGTGCAAATAGACATCTCCCAAAGAATACAGAACAGGCCTCCCCAAGACATGTCACTTTGGCATATATTTTGACCTCATTTCAAGTTGAGGTCAATCAGAGCCCTGCAGTCTCAAAAGAATCATTTACTTCTCCCTTAACTACTACTACAGGAATGAAAGTTGAGGGTATTACCCAAAACCAGAATTACATTTATAATTTATATAAAATACACACACACACACACATATATACATATATATATATATTTTTAAGCAGAGATAACCTATAAGAAAAACATATCTATATGGCAGGACATGCATTTAATTGCACAGCATTTAGTTTCCATAATGAATCAACCTTTCTTCACCATGAGCCCCCCAACTCTTCCCTTGAAACCCAGGCCTCTTCCCCATATACTACTCAGGATATATACCATCATTCTCCATTTACTTTAGAATCTATATCCATGTGGACACTCCATACACAAGGAATTAAATTATTCTTTTCTCTTACTAATTGATTGATGCTAATTTCATTATTCAAGTCACCCAAGAAGAACCCAAGGGTGGCAGAGATAAATTTCCTCTACACCCTTTCAGTATTTATAAAGTTTGCAAGTAGATATCAGTGTCAGAGGGTTATGGAACTTCACATAAAAAAAATTGGATACCCAACATCTCTTAAAAAATCATAATACTGGGCCCTCCCTGGTGGCACAGTAGGTTAAAGCACAGCACTAAGAAGCTAAAGCCACTTCAGCATGAGTTTGATCCCCACCTGCCCCGGAGGTGACCATATGGCGCGGCAGACCTCTTCTGACTGGCCTGCTGCTCCCCTCAGCAGCGTGCTTCATCGATCTGCCTGTTCTGCTCCCCACTCTGTGTGTGGTGAATCTCTCATCATCCCTGCACCTCTGGCTTGTATCCCAGTTCTGTATGCATAAATAAATAAATCTTTTTAAAAAATCATAATACTATTACACCTGGTTCCTCCTATTTTGGCATCAATTTCCTAGATCTGAGTAGGGCCTGAGCCCTTTGAAATGGACATGGACTGTCCACTATACTAAAGTCCCTCACAGGCCAATATTCATCATTTGTATTCCCTTCCTGGCTTACACGTGTTTGAATTTGATATATTTAGAAAGGAAAGCTACATTTGAAGTCAATAAGATCGTTCCCTAGCCACATAGGTTGGCTCAAGGGCGAGAATGTGAGTGAGGCCAATGTAATCGGAGTGAATATGAGTAATTTTGATGGGAACAATGGGACAAAGATGTTCACCTTTTTTTCTGATGCACTAAAAAAAGGGGGGGGGGGAAGCATGTCAATTTGAGTACTGATTAAAATTGTCCTGAGACTGTAAGGGAAGAAAGTCTTAAAATGACAAGCCACGTTTAAAAAAGATAGCAGAGAAACCAAAAGAAACAGGTTCCATCTACTGGGATTTGATAAAGCAGCAGGATCAAGCTTTACCTAAAGCTACTCTGAAATTCTCAGGTATACAGTTACATAGTATAATAAATAATGGTCATTAGTTAAATGTAAAGACCTGATTAAAGGGAGTGAAGGGGAGCTGAATATGCCAAAGACCAAAATACATTCTTTGACATAAAAACTATTTGGAGATAATTATTTTTGAAAGACTGCAGACACAGGAATATTTCTGAAAATAGAGATAAATTTTCAAGTTTAATTTCCCTTTTGTGATTGATCACAAAAATCTATAAAGAACTCACATGACTCAATAAACACAAAGTAAACAATCCAGTCAAAAAAGGGCAGATCAAAACAGGGAGAGAAGAGCACATGGGAATATGTGATGGTGCACAGGTGAATTGGTGGTGATAATTTTATGGGAATACACAATGATGTAAAAGATATAAATAAAATAAATAAATTCGACTAAAAACTACACAGTGAAAATGCATCATTATGCTAAAACATAAATCAAAATAAGCTCTTTTTTGAGGGAAATTTACATTTATAAAGGAAATATTTATTTATAGGGTGTCACCCTCTCTACTATTTAGATGATTAAATCTCTAGAAAATCCTATGAGTGGAGAAGGCAACCACCTAAATCTATATAACTACTTAATCTGTATAGCAACCATAGCCATGCTTATTGGGCTTTTCCATATTAATACTTCATAGCTGGTGCTACTGCCTCCAACCACCACCCAAAATCTTTTGTCTTTCAAGAACATGGTATTAGGTTATGGTGTGATAATTTTTTTTAAAGATTGACTTATTTATGCATACAGAACTAGGGTACAGGCCAGAGGTGCAGGGGCAGTGAGAGGCTTCACCAGAGACAGAGTGGGGAGCAGAACAGGCAGACTGACAAAGTACACTGCTGAGGGGAGCAGCAGGCGAGACAAGAAAGGTCTGCTGCGCCATGTGGGTCAACTTCCTGGCTGGGGATCGAACTGTACTGAAGCAGCTACAGCTAGCTTCGTAGTGCTGTGCTTTAACCCACTGTGCCACCAGAGAGAGCCCTGGTGTGGTAATTTTAGCAAGTTATTCAGTTTTCCTGGGTCTCTCCCTGTACAGGAGGTAAACATGTTATTAAACTCTGTTTTTTTCCTGTTAAATTGTCTTTTACCCTGGTGGATATCAGCCAAGAACTCAGAGGGTAGTAGGGAATTTATTTTTCCTCTACAAACCAACCTGCCATGCAAAAGTATGGCAAAGGTATTTTGGGGGTGGGGGAACCAAGGTGGAATTTCAGTCTTAAATGGTTGCAAGTTCTCATTCTTATGCCCAGCACTGGCACTTAGTATTGAAAAACAGCTATATCCACGCTCTGTGCGTGCTCCTCAGCCTTGATCATCATCTCTTCCAGTAGGCCAGTACCCACCTTGTCCTCCTTCACCACACACTAGATTGTGGGTGTCACATCCCATAGCACCGGTTTGAAGCTCCCCACCAGTCAGCCTGTCCAGATGCATGGAGCACACACAGGTCTCCAGCTGAGCCATGTTGGTCTCCTTATCCCAGGGCTTGTTGTCCAGGAGGATGGAGGACTTCCAACGGTGTAGGTTTGTCCTCATCACTACCAAACAGGCCCGTGTGGTCATTCTCTATGATCTAGCCCACCTTTTTAGAGGCTTGGGGGCCTCCACTTAGTGTAGGGAGACACACGTTAGGTCTGCAAGCTGCGGTCTGGTGGGTGGGCAAGTCCTCCAAGCCCACACAGCGGGGCCTGGTAGCCCAATGCGGGGCCTGCACCAAGCCTCACAGGCCCTGGTTTTCCACTTCTAGTCTGGCGATGTGCCTGACCAGTGGACTATGCTCTCCACCTGGCCCTCTGCTGGCCTCAAGGCCTGTGCTTCCGGCCAGGGGTTTCTGGAGGTTTTCTCAGGCTCTGGCACTATCCGAGAGGATGGTACTGGTGCCATTCTCCTGATGTGAGGAGCCTCTCACAGGCCAGTTCACCTGCTCTTAAAATTTCCTTTCTGCATACTCAAACTTGTCGAACCAGATCTCTTCATGCAGGAAGTTCATGACTATTTTCCTGATGCCAGCCAAGACCATGTTCACTAAAAAGGAGGGCTCAGAGGTGCTGGTGACTGAGGAAAGTGAGAGGGAAGTGATTATTTTTTGCCCCAGTAGAATATCTAGCAAACCACTGCTAATCACTAGCCCATGGCAAATCCCTTAGAAACCCTGAAGCAAAAACATGGAGAATTACTAATGTCAGCTATGGCACAATAAAAATGTGGGTTTGCTTACTGAGTCTCACTTTTAGACTTACCTTAAGAATATGTCTAGTTCACTTGGATTAGAATTTTTTTTTTTTGCATACTCCAAACTCTTTAACATTCAGACAGTTTCTTGCTTTGGCCATACATGGTTAGTCACATATTATTTTATAAAGATTTAACATTTGAGAACAATTGTACTTCTCCAATCTTCAAGTTTTATGTGAGATAATATATAGACTCACTCATGTACTGTGAATGAGAAGAATATTTATAAGCATATTGACATGTAATCTACTTACAATGCCAGGATATTTTTAAATCTATGAATATATCTCTCATTTAAAGAATTATCTGGCAATGCTAACAATCTTAAATATAAATAAAAATCAGGAAAAAATTAAAAGCCGATTACATAAAATGAAATTCTTGCAAAAATATACATTGCTTCAATCAGAAGAACCTCTCCAAACCTTAAAGCTGTTTATTTTATTTTGTACAGAATCCAAACACAATTTATTTCTGGGGTAATCAAAGTTAAGTAATAAGCCATATATATTGCAAGGTATTACTAAAAGTGGACACTGGGTGGAAGGGAGGAGAAGAAAGAAAGGAGGAGAAAGGGAGAAAGTAGAGGAGACTGAGAAACTCAGAAACCATCACATTATCACTGAGCCAAAGTGGCTGAAATATGAGAACCAACTCTGGAAACAACTCAGTATCATGTATAAAGTAGTTCAAATGCTTACTTCCATTTGATTAACCAGAAAGTTAAATTATGTCCAAAAGCTTTTGCGTAAGAATACATATAACTGGGCCCTAGTAGCGTAATGAGTTAAAGCACAGCACTGCGAAGCCAGCTGAGCAGCTTCAGCTCAAGTACAATCCCTGCCACGAAGGTGACCCACAGGGTGCAGCAGACCTCTTCTGTCTTGCCCACTGCTCCCCTCAGCAGTGTACTTCGTTGATCTGCCTGTTCTGCTCCCCACTCTGTTTCTGGTGAATCCTCTCACTGGCCCTGCACATCTGGCTTGCATCCCAGTTCTGCATGCATAAATAAATACATAAATAAAATCTTTTTTTTTTATTTTTTAAAACTATGTTACATATTATCAAGATATTATTCAGTGTGGTTAAACTTTAATCTTCGGGGACACAATGCTGGGAGACATAAAATAATGAACAAGGGGAAACTGATAAAGTCTCCATAGGAACCATGCATCGATCTATGTGACCAAAAAAGAGGCCATCATAATTTCTAAAGAAAGCAGAAACAGGACTTTCCTGCTGGCTCAAGGGGTTAGAGCACAGCATTATGACTCTATCCCCTGCCACTACTACACCGGTTTGATCCCGAGCCAGGGAGGTAGCACACATGGTGTGGCAGACCTCTCCTGTCTCACCCGCTGCTCCCCTCAGCAGTATATTTCAATAAATTGGCTTGTTCTGCTCCCCAGTCTGTCTCTGGTGAATCCTCTCACTGCCCCTCTCCTCTGGCCTGTACCCCAGTTCTTATGTGCATAAATAAATAGATCTTTAAAAAATAAAAAGAAAGCAGAATCAGGGCAACAGATCCAGGACACTTCCTGTGTGGAGGGTGACTGAAACCTGATGTCCTAGCAGATAATAATTGGCAGCGAATGACTCCCTGAGCCATGCAAAAGCCATGAAGACAAAGTATAAGGAAGAGTCCCAAGGCCCTTCAGACACAGATGAACTTTTCTGTCCCAACCGGTGCTCCTCCGCTACAGTGGATTTAATATGTCTGCCTTTCTGCCCTCCACTCTGTCAGCGGGGCAGCCTCTCACCACTGTGAACTCCAACAAGGTAATCTATAAGGGTGATTCTCTTTTCTGCCCCATCTAATGCAAGGTAGAGCAGAGCAGCAAGGGGAAGCTAAAGAGGAAAGAAGACTTGGAGAGACTTGGAGGAGGTATGTGAAACAGAGAGACATGTGAAGAAGAAGCTGTGCTCACTTCTCGGTTCTGACTTAGGGGACATGGAAGGAGACACCTGAAAGAAACAGATGTGGGAGAGAGCTCCATGGGGAGGCTGACAATGGCAGCCTTCATCTTGATGTGTTTCTTGATTTACTCATTTCATCCCAGCCTTGCCTGGCCCCTTCTGCCCCTTTCCTTTGGGTCCTCACCACAGGGCACCTTAGACTTTGAGCAGGCTTTTGGGCCTCCCTGGGCCTGCTTTGGGCCAGCCCTGTCTGGTTGCGCATTTACCCACAAGGGGATGAGTAACTTTGGGTGTTTCATTGGAAATTATTTTAACTGTATTCTTTCTGTTCTATCGCACACTAATTGTATTAAAGTTGCTTTCCATTGAAGGTCTTTCTTAATTAAAGTATGTTCTGTCTGTATGTGGCAGATGGCAGAACCTATCCAGAATCAGCAGGATTCTCACCCTGCCCTGTAACAAATAGACTTTTTTAAAGAATTATCTCTGCTTTCCTGCTTTTGGTTTTTGTCCCAAGTTCTTAAGCCATTTGCAGCAACAAGGATGGAACTGGAAAGGTTGATGCTAAGTGAAATAAGTCAGAAAGAAAAAGGTAAATGCCAGCTGGTGTCATTAATATTCATTGGGCCCACCCCGGTGCCCCAACAGATTAGGAGGCAGCACTGCAGGCTAGCCACAGCCTCTTCAACGCAAATTTGATCCCCAGCCCTGGAGGTGATCTACATGGCATGGCAGACCTCTCCTGACTCGCCCGCTGCTCCCCTCAGCAGTGTACTTTGTCAGTCTGCCTGTTCTGCTCCCCACTCGGTCTCTGGTGATTCTTCTCACTGTACCTGCACCTCTGGCTTGTACCCCAGTTCTGCATGGATAAATAAATATTATATATATATATATATATATATATATATACACAGAGAGAGAGAGAGAGAATATAGAAAAACTAAACTATGGGGCAAATTAAAAAATCAAGCTTAAAAACTAACCCCTGAATTCAGTCTATAGAATTGAAGCATCCAGAGGCGTTCAGGGGTGAGGGAGGGGTAAGAACAATGAGGGAAGGAAGTACAATGGACTATGATGATGGACTCTATATGGGTGATTAGGTGGTGGGTGCCTATGGTAGAAATAACTGATGACTTTAATTTAAAAAAAAAAAGCCATCACCCTTAAAAAGAAAACAGTTTATCATAATTACCCTTTAATATATATGTAATGGTCTTTTAGTTAAGGTACAAGCAAATATGGATAAAGTTTAAAGCTTTCACATGTACTTTAAAGTCAAAGACTGTGGACTAAATGCCATCAAGTAATAACGTACATTTTATTACATGCAAATAAATAAATAAAAATAACAGCTCCCAAAAGTTTTCTCCAACCAAACATTAAAGAACATCTTATATATCTATAGCTATCTATCTATATATCACTTTGCTGCTTACAATAGAATTTCAGGAAATTAAAAAATCAAGCTTAATTACAGAATTTCAGGAAATTCAGAATACTATTAAAATAAAATCAAAGATTATCTAAATTAAAGATTCCCCAAAAATGTTAGATTACTTTGATAGAAACTTTATTTATGGCTATAACCCTAAATCTAGGTAATCTTTATTTTTTTAAGCTAATGACACCAGTTTTTCTTGAAGTCCATGGGGCCTCAAATGACCTCAGCTCCACATGTGAAGGTGACACTTATTGGAAAAAACTTGCTCTGGACATTTTGGGGAAACACAACTTTCAATCTCTAGGATCAGGATGTTGTTAGCAGGCAAAATGAGAGGTGCCCTCCCTGGTGGCACCGGGTTAAAGTCTCCAGGGCTATTGGCAGCCACTGCAACATGAATTCAATCCCAGCCAGGGAGCTGACCCACATAACACAGCAGACCTCCCCGGTCCCACCCGCAGACTTCTACTATCTCCCCGCTGTTCCCCTCAGCAGTGTATTTCAGTAGATCTCCCTGTTCTGCTCCCCACTGTGTCTCTGGGGAATCTGCTCATACCCCCACCACCCCTCCCCCGCCCCCACACCTCTTGCCTACACCTCAGCTCTTATATGCATAAGTAAATAAAAATAAATCTTTAACAACAACAATAAAAAATGAGGTCCCCAGGAGCCCCAAACTTTGTACCTTCTGAACAGTTTCTGTTTTCTGCCACATAAAGAGAAAACATACTTTTTGCGCTTAAGACATTCAATAGAAAAGGATAATAGAATTGCTGTACAATAGAGAGAAGAGAAGAAAGGCTTATAATTGCCCAATGCAGCACCCAAAGTTCCCCATGCTTTTGTGGGTGTATGCACAGCCAAACAGACCAGGCCCAAAGCAGGGCTGCTGAAGACCAAAAGCCCACCACCAGTCTAATATACCTTCTGTTGGGACCCACAGGAAAGGGACCGAAGGGGCCAGGCAAGTCTGGAGGGAAAATAAAATCCAAACCCAAGTCAAGATAAAGGCTTCTGTTGTCAGTCTTCCCACCAGTCTCTCACCCACAGCTCTATCTCTGTCAAGTTTCACCTTTTACATCCCCTAAGTTCCTGGTACAAGTCCAAGGCCAAGAAGCAAGCATGACTTTTCCACATGTCTGTTTCACGTCTCCTCCAAGTCTTGTCCTCAGTCTTCTTCTTGCAGTTTTCTCTCCTAAGACCTTTTAAGCTTCCCCAGCCACTCAGCTCCACACTTTATTGGGGGTAAGGGGATTTGGCAGGGCACATGAAACCTCCTCCTTTCAGATTACACTGTTACAGTTACACCTGGGAACTGAAAGCCTACTCCATGCACTGTTTTAAAATTTTTAAATCAGAAAAGCACATGACATTTGTTTGAAAGGAAATATACATACATCAGTTTGCCACATATTAGACATATTTTGCCCAGCAATGCAACCTGAACTTTCAAGGTTCTGATAATTTTCAAGAAAGGTCAGGAGTAGAACCAAGTTATGTTGGTCTGAGATTTGGAAAGCCCAATTTTAGAGAAAAAACATGAAATTTTAAATACAAAATGCAAAGCAATCGAAAGTAAGTACAGTTAAATAACCTACTTTTGTAAATTCTACAAAAACAGAAGACTGAGCTGGCTATGGTCCCGTCTAGGCTGCTTTGGGAATTTGATTAACATTATGGTAATGTCACCTCTGATGAAGATAATCCTTTATATATCCAGAAAGTAAGTAAAAATAGATAAAAATTCACTCTACAGAATTATTTATTATTAAGTATGTACATCCAGACTTAACCAAACTATAAGGATTGAGCACAAAGTCCCTTAGACACTCTGGTTTTTCCAACACTTCTAAGACCAAATGTAAGGAGTTAGGACCTAACTACAAAGTTAGAGGACACAGTAACCAAAACTTCCCTCACTTCTGACACCCACTACCAGTTTGAGAGGGCTCCCAAAGGTCTCCCCAAGTGGGAGATACATTGCCAAGACTCACAGAAATGCCTAAAAGCTATACCACTCATAGCTATGGTGTTTTACAGGAAAAGGGCACAAAACCAGAGAAAGAGATGTATAGGGCAGCCTGAGGGAGGGCTCTGATTGATACCTGGTGGCAGGGGGCCCTAAACTCACCAACACCCGACTGCCCAAATACTTTACTAAAGTCCATCTGGGTTCTTCACGCATTCACACAATTGCAAGACTGCCCAGGCTCAGGAAACAACAAACACAAGATATACAAAAAATTTTGAGGCCAGTGATGGCTGTTTACTTTACCTAAAGTCATGTCCAGCATTGTCCTTCACAAAGACTGTTATGATGACGTCTTCCCGCCACTGAGGATGTGCAGCTCCTCTCTGAACAATAGGCCACATGTCTAAGATGGCTTCTGCCTGCCTCTACCAACAGAGCACACGGCAGACTCCAGGCCAGGTTCCAACTCACGAAGACAACAGAAGACACGACAGGAGACGCTCCCTGAACTGCAGGACGCTCCAGCACAGCACCAGGTGAGCAACGCTCAGAATAGCAGCCACAGCCACCAAAATGACCTGACATCAGGCCTTGCTCACACAGCTAACCAGGCTGTGTCTGCAGCAGGAACTTCTTCAGTGGCTCAGCTACTTGCAAAGCCTCTTCCTCTGGCCTCCACCTTTAGAAGGCCTCAATAGCCTTTCCAAAATCAGCCTGGTCCCAGGGCTCAAATCCACTGGCCCCCAAAATGCTGAAGTAACTCCAAACCTGGAAATCAAACCTTGAATCCTGGAGCCCCCACAAAAAAACTTTCTTCCTTCTCCCTCTACTTCTTTTTCTTTTTCTGCTCCAGTCACTACTATTTCATCTCCAAGGAAGCCCCTCCTCAAAATCGATACTTTTTAACATTATCCCTGCCTCTGTTTTGTCTTCACAGCAACCCATCAGGGAGGGGCACCACCTGAGACCTTCCTTGGCCTCAGCCCCCCACCACCACCACCACCACCGCAAGATCACAAAGTTCTCTTTGTCTTTAGGGTGCATTATCCTCCCGGTATTTGTGTTTGATAAGTTATATGGGGCTTTACCAATCAGGAGAGCTCACATGAGCTTTGTGTTCAGTGCTTTTCTTGGGGCACCATTGTATAAGCATGACTGATTGATTCATTGCACATGTGATTCAACTTAATTTCTAACAACCATCTTCTATTCTTGAAGGTCAGGAAGTACCACATGGTCTGAAAGTAACCACAAATTACATCATTAACAAAATTATCAGGTGTCGTCAGGGGCCCACCAAGAATAAAAAAGATATTCCTCTTAGGAAATTTCCAGGATGTAGAGGAGCCAGGGAGAAAGGCCAAACGTCTCTTTAGACTAGAGCAACTCCTTCACTACACATTGTAACGTATCATTAATACACTCATAAGTAACTTCTAAGCTTATTTTTATAATGGAAATATATAATATATATAAGTATATCTAGAGAGAGTTTCCCAATTTTTTTTTTTTCTTGTGTGAATTTCTCATAATCATCATTGTAGCCAGGTAGGGAATGGAGATTATTTCATCTAGTTACAGTTTATGTCATCTGTGCAAACTGACGATTTACAACTGGGACAAGTGTCAAAAATGGATTAATTTACTTCATTTTTATATCAACTATTGCAAATGGCAACATATTTTAAACATTAAGAACAAGAATGGATTGGCTAGAGTATTTTTGCAAGAAATACATTTCTTTATGTGTAAGGGGAATCAGAACTTCAGAAAATATTACCTGGACTCAGTTTTGTCCAGTTACTCAGATGTACATTCCTCCTCCAGTTTCAGTTTCACAGACTACCAGGACAAAACAGGCCATGTTCCCAATAGCCCTAGTAAAATATTGAAAATTACCATATTTCTGGGTCACATGAACATACATCCCTGACCTAATCATCATGGCTTTGATTTACCAGGCTTCCGGGATCCAGTTTCATAAATCTGAAATCTGGAAAACGAAGTCTGCCTATTAAAATGACAAAAATTGAAATGTGGCATTGGAAAGTTGTTAACCAAAGGAAAATGAGTATGTGGTGAAAATAAGAATGAAGAAATGCTAGACACAAAGACAACTACACCACTAAAAAGCCCATTATCAGATAGCTAAAAATATTATTCAATTCAATATTTTAAATTTTAGTCAATTTTATCGATATAATATAAATATACTAAGCTGCACTCATTTTAAGCATGCAGTTCTATGCATTTTCACAACTATATTGATCTGTGCAGCCACTACTAGTCAGATACAGCACATTTTCATCACCCCCAAAATCCCCTTTTTCTTCCATACAGCAGAGAAAGAAAGAGAGAGAGAGAGAGTTCAATACCACCTCCATCCCCAAGTCAGGCAACAACTTACTGTGTCTTCTGTCAATAGTAATTAGTTTATATTTTCTATAATTTCATACAAGTGGGAACAGAAAGCCTGCACTCTTTTGTGCATTTCTTTCATTCAATTTGATGTTTCTGCAATTCACCCAAGTTGTCACAGCTATCAGTCACTCATCCTTATGAGTAGTATACCATTGTGTGCAAAAATCAGTTTGTTTATACATTCCCCAATTGAGGCATATGTGGGTTTCTTCCTGTTTGTGGCCACAATGAATAAAGTTATTGTGAGCATTCATAAAGCAGTCTTAATGTGAAAATATGTGTTTATTCCTCTTGGGTAAATACACAGGAATAGAATATTTGGGAGGTATAGTAGGTGAATGCTTAACTTTAAAAGAAACCACCGAACTGTCAAATATTTGCATAATTTTGTATTCTTACTAACACTGTATGAAAATTCCCTCTTGCATTCTCTCCAATATTTATTACTCTAATTTGAATTGTAACCTTTTCTTGGTGTCTAGTAATGGCATTGTGATTTTAATTTGTATTTTCTAGAAAACTTAAGATGTTGCACGTTTTCCTGTACTTTGGACTATCGGCATAAATCCTTTCCTGAAGGGTCTGCTTGCTCATTTTGATCATTTTATAAAAAAAAAAATGTACTCTTATTGACATTCTACAGGGGTGGAGAGGGCAATAGGATCAAAATTGGAGCGGGAAGAGGACTCAGGAATATGGTGATGGCACATGGGTGAATTGATGGTGGGAAGTCCATGGGGATTACAACTGAGATGAAAAAGTGTACAAAATGAAGAATGATGCAATATATATATATACACATATATAATACATTTTTTAAAATGTACTCTTATTATTAATTTATAAGAGTTCTTTATATGGGATATTGTGAGATAGGCAGTGTGAATACTTCTCTGCTGTATGGCTTTCTATTCACTTTTAAATGATATCCTTCTATTTGCTACCAAACCAATACCACCATGAAAGCACTAATAATCCGTTGGTTTATTGTCAGTTGCTATCCACATCTTTATCCCATAAAGATAAATGCATTGTCAAATGTCTGAGGTTAAAAAAAAAATCAAAAGTAAGCCCATCCCCCTAAAAAAAACAAATAAATGATATCTTCAAAGAGTAAACTTTTTAAAATTTTGAGAAGGCACCATTTTTTTTCTTTTATGGTTCATCTTTGTTTTATCCTAAGAAATTTCTGACTACTCCAAAGTTCTCTTCTAGAGTTTATACACTTTAAATTGTTATGTGTAAGTCTATAATTTACATTAGGTAGATTTTTCTCCATAACATTAGATAACATTAAATATTTTCCATACATATAAACAGTTGTTTCAGCACAATTCATTGAAAGATATTTTTCTACCACTATTATATTATCTTGCTATCTTTGCTGCAAAATGAATTAGTCACATGTGAATGAATCTATTTCTGATCTCTTTTTGTTCTATTGAGCTACATTTAAATCTTTTCACCAATGTAACATTACCTCCTTTACTTATAGTTTGATAAGTCTTGAAATCATCCAACTTTGTTTTATTTTAAATTGTTTGACTCTTTTAGGTCATTTGTATTTCCATATAAATTTTAGAATTAGTTTATGACCTATAAAATGTCTTGGTGGAAATTAGATTAGGCTTAGGTTGAATCAGTTTGGGGAAAATTAACATCTTAGTAACATTGAGTTTTCACATATTTGAGCATTATATATCTTTTTGCTTTCATTTGGATATTGCTTCATTCTTTCAAAAATATTTTTTATGACTTCTACACTGAAAACTATAAAATCTTTCGCAAAGTTATCCTGAAGTATTTCATGTTATTTTTAAAGTAAATACATCTTATTTCATTTTCTACCATTTCTTGTAACTGAATAGAAATTGATTTTAATGTTGACTTTGTGCCATACAACTTCTCTAAATTATTTATTAGCTCTAGTCATTTTAGTGGATTTGTTGCAGATTTATTAGAACTTTAAAATTTGTAACTATGGGATCTATGAATACCAAAAAAAATCTACTCTTTCATTCCAATTCAGTACATTTTATTTTATTTATCCTAGTGACTTACTAGAAATTCCAGTATAAAGTTAAATGGACATTATGTTATTATGTGTGAATTTATGAGGAAAATGAGGAAAATAGTATTCCAATATATTACAGATGATGTTAGCTCTGAAATTTTGTAGAATACCTTTATCATGTGGAGGAAGTACCCTTCAGTTCTTAGTTTTCAAAGAGGTGTTGATTTTTTTTTTTAAAGATTTATTTATTTGTGCATACAGAACTGGGGTACAGGCCAGAGGCTCAGGGGCGGCGAAAAGCTTCACCAGAGACAGAGTGGGGAGCAGAACAGGCAGTCGATGAATTTTCCTGCTGTGGGTCTCAGCGGGCGGGTCAGGAGAGGTCTGCCACGCCATGTGGTCACCTCCAGGGCAGGCGGGAATCGAACTCATGCGGAAGCGGCTTTAGATTCTCAGTGCTGTGCTTTAACCCGCTGCGCCACCAGGGAGGGCCCAAGGTGTTGAATTATTTTTAATGTAATTTCTGCAGCAACTGAATGACCATGATTTACCTCCATATTTTTTTGATGTTAAATTAGAATGATTCCTTGATGTAGGTTACTGTAACCGAGGAATCACCATAAAAAGGGGAGGTTCCAGTTTCCCTTCCTCACCTAATGAAGGGCAGAGTTGCTTGGTCATGTCAAGGTATAGAACACTTGGAGAAAGACCCAGGAGGAAGAACACTTGAACGAGACACATGCAGCAGAACAATATGTGAA